CCGGCCTCCTCCCGTCACTGCCTTCGGGGCCTGACCGTCCTCCGAACGTAGGTCTTCTGGGGAGAAGGAGTCAATGGAGCAGCTGGGAGTGAAAGCATCGCCGAGGGAGGGAGGGTGAGCGAGGGGGGGAGGGGGAATGGGAGGCGCCTGCCGTGTGTCCACAATAAAGTATTTAAATTCAGTAAAAACAAAATCACTCAGTGAAACTGTTCACAAGGCACAGTGCCCGGGACATGTCTTTCCTCTGTCCACGGGCGGCGTTTGCCAGCAGTGACGGCAAACGACATTAACTATTGAAAGTGGCCACACGCGCCTCACAGCAAAGCCGGAGCCACCGTTACTCACACCAGGAGGGCAGGTGCCCACTGGACCGCCGGGCAGGAGAGCCCCGGGCGGTTAAGAATGATCTGCCGGCCGGCGTGCTCAGTGGTGACCTATGAACTGGGAGGTCAGGGTTCGGTTCCGGTCAGGGCACAGGCCCGGGGTGCGGGCTTGATCCCCACTAGGGGGCGTGCAGGAGGCAGCCGATCCTGGGTCTCTCTCTCCCTCTCCATTCCTCCCTGAAATCAGTAATAAAAAAAAAAATTATTATTATTATTACTTTTTTAAAGAATGACCTGGAGGGGCGTTGCCTGTGAGCAGGTACAGGCTCGGTCGTGCGGCTCAGACCCCAGGGTCAGGGTCGCTCTGCAGTGACCCAGCTCCGTGCCCCCAACCACACCAGCTCCGCCGGGAGGCACGGTGACGAGAGGGCGCCGCTGTCACCGCGGTTCTGCACGGTCACACTTTGCAAAGGACGACAGTGACCCTCAGAGAAGCTGAGAAACAGCCCGAGGCCACACAGAGCAGGTGCAGGGTGGGGTGGGGGGTGGCGGACTGCAGGTGGTCGCCTGAGTGGTTTCCTGGAGCGCTGAGGATTAACAAAAAAAGAAAGAAAAAAGAAACATCAATAATGAGAATCATGGATCGGCTTCCTCCTGCACGCCCCCCACTGGGGATCAAGCCTGCAACCCGGGCCTGTGCCCTGACCGGGAATCGAACCGTGACCTCTGGGTTCCTAGGTCCACACTCAGCCACGGAGCCACTCGGGCCGGGCAGAAAATGGGGTGCACTTTATAGAGCTGTCCTTATGATCACCAGAGTGTGTATGCATTTGGGGGCACCGTCTCTGTCCGTTTCCAGAGACAAACCCTGCGGAG